AGTCAGTAGATATGAATATAGGATTCAATACATGTATAAACAGCATAATGAAACCATATAAACTATTGAATTATCTCCTGATATTTTCAAAGAACTATTACATATATGTATTACATACACTTGCATATATTAGCATATATGAGTATGTAATATGTATATAAATGTATATGTTTACATATACACCATCTATGATCTTTCAAATTTTGATTCTAGGAAAGAATTTGGAACTGAAATAATTCAATTTTTTATTGATTTTTTTTTTAAATCGGTAACAGGGATTGAACTCATGACCAGGTACTTGCAAGGCAGGTGCTTATGCCACTGAACTAAATCCCCAGCCCCAATTCCATTTTTATTGAAAGTCTAATAACTGTGAGCCACAGGGTCAAAACTAGTATCGGTTCAACTTTTACTATTGACATAGATATGACTTTGATACTTTAGCTTACATTCTCTTGTTAAAGTTATGTATTGTAAAAAATTGGGTAAATTTAGTCACAAAACTAATTAGAGATATATGTGTGTGCTCCAAGCTATATAATTGAAACACAAAATTCCTTTTTAGAATTTGTCATTGAAATAAGTACCAACAAAATTAGTTTATAATGAGCATGTCTACAGCATATTCTCATGTTATAAACTAAGTATGATAATTTTTTCAACTAGATTTTAATTGATAAGGTCAACTTTAAAAGTCTCTTTAGAATAGCATAGTTAGCCCTTAAATGTCTCCCTCATTCTTTTAAAAATCCCTTCTCCCTCTTATTAGTACCTATGCATTTAAGAGTATATGTATTTTAAAATTAAATATGTTATCACTGTTTGTAAGTCATCTCCAGCTTGAAACCAGTTGTCTTCCCCTTCTTTATCATGGGATGTACTCAGACACCGAGCTTAAATAAAATCACTCTTCTTTAGTCAAGAGCCTCACCAGGTCCATTGCTGGATTTGCTGTTTCCAACTTGCAATGGAGCTCTGCCAGTTACTTTATTCAGACAGCCCATTAGCAGGCTGGCTTCAATACATAGCATAGCTACACTGCAGAACACAAGGAGATGTAGAAGCAGAAATTCCACTCATTTGATGTGTTTCCTGGATGGTGGGGATTAAAATCAAACTGAAGCATACAAAGGCTTCTTTCCTAAGAATCCTTTGTGTAAGAAGCAGCAGTGTGTGCATACAATTTAGAGGGAGCAGAAACACAGCTGTTTGTGCTCATGCCAGACTACTTGAGTTCAACTCCTCCTTGGCTCAGTCAGTGGCCATGTGACCTGAGGCAGGTAAAAACATCGCTCTTCTCCCAGTATCACAGAGAAGAAATAAAAAGAAGCATCTCCATAGGCTTTGGTTTCTCCATTCATAAAATGGGTATAACCATAGCTCATCTCTCAGAACACCTCTGTGAATATTGAATGAATTAACGTGTGCTTACATTGCTTTCATACTTCATGTAGCTCAGTGTTGCCCTGTAAATGTGTACAATCAAAATAAAAATGATAAAAAATTTGTGCTTAGCATCGCATTAGGAAGGCAGTGTAAAAACTACAGAAATAAAAGCTAACTTTGATGCACCTCTGAATAAGTAGCAACTGCAGAAACTTTTGAAATCTTAAGCAATCTTTCAGAGCAAATACATTCCTCTGTTTCCAGGAGCATCAGGAAAAAAGAAGACTGCATGCACTTCAAGCACACTTTATCTAAAACAGAAAGCAAAGAGATCCTGGGCAGCTTATATTTTCCAAAGACCAGAAGATCAATTTAGTCCTGGCTTATGATTTAATCTTAAGAAGCCAGTAAACAAGGCCACAGTCCTGGACTTTGAACTCTGAAACAGATGAGCTAACACTTAACTCCTGCCAAAGTAGAAGTCTTAAAAAACGAAAGAAAGCATTTATTAGTAATTTATTAAAGGTCAGATGTTCAACTGGCATTGTTTTTGAAAAAATCAGACATTAAAAATATGTTAAACTATGATTTTATTGATTATTCTTTGAGATTTTTATGGACACTTCTGTGAGGTTTAGTTAATTTTTACTGCTTCAGGCATTACAGTTTTATTAGTCATCTTAAGGCAATTTCAAATTATTTCATCAATCTTCATCTTTGCTTTTAATTTATGCAGTGGAATTTACTTGCTCATTGGTGTGAATAATTTTTAGTATATTGCCAAACAGCCTGTGGGAACTGAAAACACAAATTGCATATATTTGAGTTCTCTGTTTGAGTGTAATGCCACAAAAACAGATGATGCTGCAAACCTAACTTCATGGAATTCCAGGCACTCATAACTAATTCATAAATTCCTTTTGTTTTTTTTTTTTTGCTCTGTAATTAAGAAAACAAATTCGACCTACATATTTGGGAGGCAAGTAGTAGAGCAAAGCATATCTGGTGGTTATAATAATTTTCCATTTCTCTTTATGGCGCTTTATGTTAACCTCCCTAATCTGACTAAATACTTTATACATCATCAAATGCATTGTTCCAGAACATACTACATTAGAGGCTGAATCAATAATTACGGGCCCATTTTATTATTCTTACACTTCGGTTATTCTCCCAAGCTCAGCCTGCAAAGATCCTTCTCCTCAGTCTCATAGCGCTCAGGAGGTTTAATTCACTGAGGTGGCTGCAACCTCTTAAAAATATTGCCATCAGACAGTGATGCCCCTCAGTCGTTTGGGAAGCCAGCAGGGCTGAAGCCCACCTACTAGTGAGCTTTGGCTATGAGCAGCTTTCTGTAGAGCTCCTGCACAGAACCAGAGGAGCAGAGCATGGGAGGTGATGCGTCCTTCAGCAGCAGCAACATGAGATTCTGCCGGATGGTGTGGAGTGTGGCCCGTGAAGTCTCACTGTCTGGACATCTACTTCCTGCACCAGTTGCAGAACACATGGCACCATTCATAACGAGGCCAAAGGAGGGAGAGAAGAATTACCTTGCAGGAGTCCAGGAAGCTCTGCAGTGGTGCAGGAAGGGGCTCATGCCTCAGGTCTGTTTGCCCTGATCTGTCTTCACGCACTCTGGTGCTTTCGTTCTTCCACTGCTGCTGTGCCTGAGACGGACTCGGACCCAGCGGAAGGCCACTTCTCATAAGACATGCTCATTCTGCACATCCGAGCCTCAGCCCAACTATTGTGCGAAGATCTCAGTGGCTGAAAATCCCTTGGCGTTAGGAACTGAAAATTCAGCATTACCTTTTTATGGATGGCAAAGAACGATTTCTTCGTGTCTCTGAGTATGACTTCCAACTATAGTGAAATTTTGAATGGTTTGCACTGTCTTTATTTTGTTGTTTCTAACTACAATTTGAAGTAATTATCCTAAAATATCAACCCGTTGTAATTTCAAATATAAAGCCACCAAGGACAGGTTATATGTATGAAAACAAACTCAAAATCTCATACAAAAAATAATTCCATGTGCAATCTAATGGATACTTGGTATTGAACAACTACAAGTTTTTGTTTTATTTTTGATCCTACTTATGTAATAATACCCATCGAGAACAGGAGTTTAAGCTCCAAGGATTCTGGTTGCTTTGTCTGTGCCTCGATGCAAAAGTTTTGGAAAGCACCGTCCACTGGCTCCCTCGGGGTTTTCAGTGAGTCACATTCCCGCCAGATTTTCCCAGGTGCTTTCAAAACCAGACAGGAGGCTTTGGCCGCTGAGCGTGACCAGCGAGTGTGCAGATCACTGTCAAAAACTCAGTCCTGTCTTCCACCTTGAACATACATCTCGGGGTCCCACCAAACAGGGCCATGTGCATGTGTCACAGTTGCCTGGGTCTCAGCCTGGAAAAGTACCCCAGAGAGGCTCATATCCTGCAAGAGCACTGTCCTTGTCAACTGCTTTGGACAAACCAGTCACAGAGATGTCTTACAAGAACCGAGAAACTTCCTTCTTCCAGCCAGTGAGCTGGGACGTGCTGGTCTGCAGCGGTGGCCCATCTTGATTCCACATCCTTTCTCCTCTCCTCTGGGCACCTCCGCGCCTTTATCCAGGCTTCTCTGGGGAAGGCTCCCAGGCGGTGCCACCCGGTGGAAAGGGTCTCTGGGTCACTGTCCTTCCCACTTCTTGCGAGTTCTTCGCAGGTGTCTCGGGAAGTGGCGGCGAGGCGAGGCCGTTGGCCTTTGGCTGTCCCCCAGCCAGGCAGGGCTGGCCCTCCTGACTTGCTTTCTCGCCCTTCAGGTTCTGTGCCCCAAGGTCAGAAGGTGCTGGGGACACTGGAGCGCGCGGTCTTCCCCTCCCCCGGGTTCGCGAGGTGTTTACCTTCGCCTCTGTCCCGCTCTTTCTCTTTCACTTTTCTTTTCTCGGGGGTTGGGACTCCCGGGGGTGGGGGGCGGGGCGGGGATCCCCGCTGACCGCTCTCTGCGGAAGCCCCGGCCCCCGGGCGGCTGGCGCTGGCTGCCGGACTCTATGGAGGTTGGGGCTCCACTCCTCTGCTCGGAGCTGGGGGTGCAGGTAGTTCTCCGAGCGCTGGAAATTTCCCCGAATGCTCACGCCCAGGCCCCTCCCGACTCGGCTTCTACTCACCCCTTTTCCTTCCCCAGCCCCCGCCCAGGCCGTCCCGCCCTCTTGACCAGGACTTCATTTTTTGATTGCGCTACGTGCAGAGGTTTTTTTTTTTTTTTTTTTTTTTGTCACCCCCCCCACCCTTTATTTCGCTCGTGGCCTCTCTGCCGCATCCTCTGGCTTGTCCTGCGGGCGCAGCTTGCAGGTCCTCCTGCGCCCCCGACGCGCGCGTCTCCCGTGCGCTGCGCTCTCGGCGCTCCCAGCGCTTGGGGACCCGCGCTCCTCGGCTGCAACACGGGTGTCGGACGGGGAGCGACGCGAGGTGCGCCCCGCTGCCCCCGCCACGCGAGTTTCCAGGAAGACGCGGTCTGGTGGTCCCGAGAGCACTGAGTTTTGAACTTTGTCAAGTTCAGAAAAAGTCAAGAAAGGTACCGCAGCTCCCCGCTTGCTTCCTCCTTGTGCTCTCTGAAACTGGCTGTAGCTGCTGCTTTTGCAAAATCCAATTCCTGCCTTCTCTAATCAGGACAGGTTTTCTAGGAGGAGACATGTGAAGAATGGCCAGGGCTTGGCAAGCAGGCCTGGGTCCGCACAAGGCGCTTCCTCCTAGACAGGCGGTTCTGTGGAACGCCTGAGCCGCTTGGAAGAAATGCAGGCAACTTGTATTGATACAAAGTTCTTACTCAGCGGGGTTTTAAAAGAAAATCCAGTTAATTTCTTCAAGTGTTGTTGCGATTGCATATTGTAAAAGTTACAGTGCACTTGGATCTAATTTATGTAATTCCATGTATTTCAAATTAAAGAAGCTTCAAAATACTTGTAAGGAAAACTAACTGTTGAAAGATGACTAAAATAGATGCTTAAACAGGGTGAGTCAGAAAGTGGAACTGGAAGCAAAGCGATTATGGCCAGCTATTTTCCAATAGATTTTGGAAAACCTACGTTCTAATATTATGATACTGATATGGCCCTCCTTGCAAGTGGTGGTGACCCTCAGATATTTAGTGTTACAGATTACAGTGTTACTGTGTTACAGTGTTACATTGTTACAGACTTGGCTGAATTTTTGTGTTAGTGTTAGAGAGACAGTAGAAAGACCACAGGGGTTATTGCATCTTGCTGTCCAGAGGTTGTAAAGTGGACAGATCTCTTGGGTCTGTTGACATCATCAAGAAGCAAATCACGTCAAAATTTAAGCCCCTGTCATTGTCTTAAGCAGATTAGTGGACATGATAGACGGAGGGGACATAACAGAAGGAGCACCAAGATATATAAAGAACGGAGGACAAAGCAATAGCTATTTTAGATTTTTTAAGTGAGGAAGAAGCTGAAGTTTTCCCTGAAGAAGCATCAGTATGTTCTTAAGGTTGGTTGTGACTGTGTCTCGCTGTCATGTCAATTATTTGTTTGTTTGGGTTTTGTTCTATCAGAGTTTCAATTAGAAAGACTTCTCTTGTTGTATTATCAGTCTTGCAACAATGACGAAAAAGAGTTAATTGACTACAGGCTCCCAGCTTCTGATAGGTGAACTATTCTGGTACTTTTCAGGTCACAGCTTTCTGATGCCTTGTAGTGGCAATGCTAGAACCTGATAAGCAACTATAGTTCTGCTTTTTAAATGATAGTGTTTTGCTTTAATCTCTGCAATCAATGTAGCAAATGTCAACAACTATTTTCCCAGCTACAATGTTTATCAATGAAATATATTTATCAGCTGTGCAGAGTAGAGAGAAACAATTTCAAGTTTATTGAAATAGAGTTTGGAAATTGGAGGTTTTAAACCTTGGATTTCTTCATCTCAGGTTTGCTACCTCTCATGGATTTCAAGAAGGCTGTAAAAGGAGCTCTGAATTACTTCATTTAATACATCGATAACCTATACAGTTAAATTTTTTAAAACTTAGAAAATTGTCCTTTACTCCCCATATCTCCTGGAGTTTTCAGCTGTTTTGTTTGTTATGTAACTATTCTCCTGTAGGTCATTTAATGATGATGTGGATGACACTATCTTCAGATAATGTGAATAATTACCAACTTCTATTAGATTCTTATATACCAGACATTGTTTTCAGTGTGCAGTTCAAAAAATCACCAAAATAAACGTGTGATAGGGATTGGGTTTTACAGCTGAGGAAGTTCATTTATATAGTAGTTAAATACCTTCCCTAAGATCATAGAGTTAGAAAGTAGGTACAACTAGGGCTCGAATTTAGACAGGCTAAGATTACTGGTTTTTGGTATTTCTAAAAGATGATTTTATTCCCACTGAAATATTTTCTATAATTTGATAGTGACCATAATTTCATTTTGAGGCAATGTTAAAATGCTAAAATGTTTGGCTTTAAAGTAATGCTTCTATGGTATTTATATAACAGACATTATTAATTGTATACTTAAGGGTTATGTTTATAATCAAATAACATTCACATTCATATCTGTATGTGTTTGGTTCCTTTGAAAATTTCTTTTATGGTCTATGTATCAAAGCATTTGTGTTATTTGCATCAGTTTCTACTGTTTGATTGGCAAATAATATGCAAATTTGGATTGAGCTGTACATGGGAGTGATCAAAATGTACAGTAAATGTTTAACTTTTAAGACATTATTACCTCTAAATGACACGTTGCCATTAATTGATTTCGAAAATATTTCCTCTTGTGCAAACATACGTATCCCATTAGACGTGCCACTGTCAGAAACAATTGCAGGCGGTCTCATTTCATGAGTGTTTTTATGGTGTATGGTGAACATTGCTGCTGAATGCCATGCAAAGGGAAGGGAGGCGGGCTGCACACATTCCAGCGTGTCCTCATCTACCCCACTCATGGCACCTCCCATGTCACTTTTGGCTGTGTTTGCAAGTCAAAATGAGCATGCGTGATAAACATTTTAAGTCAATGCAGGACATCACAGAGTAACTAAAGACACTCATAAAAGAAGACTTCCAGAACTGGTTTAGGAAGTCTTCAGAGCAATAGGGTAAAAGTGCTCCATGGGAAGGTGAGTCTTCTGAGGGGCGTTAATGATATTATGTCTTTCACTGCAATATTTGTAAGAATGTAAACATTTTTTAATCACACCTTCGGGTGTCTATATCTGTCTACCAGAGTAGACTGTCAGGAATCTTGGAGCGATCACAGGGGCAGACTCAGTATCACATTGCCACTGCAGTTAACTATTTAGGAGTCCCCCACCCCCTTTTTCACAAGGCTCCATGGTGGTACCATTGGCAAGAAGCTGGCTTCGTGCTCTTGCTCAACTTCAGTTTTTTAGCTCTTAGGCTTATTTACAGTCATAACAGGAATTGCATAAGCATATTGAGACTGAACATTGCTTACACGCTTGCAGCTATTCTATTGAACTGGTTGATGGAGAACTCTATACCAGTGCTGAGAAAGAATTTGCTGATTTAATGAGTAGTAGAGTTTAATTAACTAATAATTTTCTGGGAAAGCTCAGTAATTATTAAGTATATTTCTATACTTCATATATGTATGTGTCTTATCTGAGAACTTATATGTGCTTGTGTGTGCATATATGCACATAGGTATGCATACATAGCATATATCACTGGTGAACAGCTTGGGAAAGATAGAAGGGATTTTAAATTTTGTTTCAAGACTATAATGAATAAGAAGACAGAAGCAACCAAGAAATCTTGAAAGAGAAACAAAGTACAAATTATTGTTATTAACAGTATCATTCTTGGAGGAACCTAATATGAATCCAAAAGTTACAGGAAATACTACAGTGCTGTTTCAGGAACCATGCTAGGTTTTCATCTGCATGACCTTGTTGAAGTCTAAGAACCATTCTGTTTTAATCTCTGTGTGTGTGTGTGTGTGTGTGTGTGTGAGAGAGTATGAGTGTATGTACCAGGCATCAAACTCAGAACTCACGCTTGGTAGGCAGGTGCTTGTGTTGTTGAGCTGTCTCTTAGACCCTCAATCTTGAGCATTAAAAAGAAGAAGAAAAAAAGATTCCTGCATGCAGAACTTCATTTGGATCAGGGCTTCCTAGCAAGATGCTCTGCTGAGATTTATTTTGATTTCAAAGTTAATTCTCTCTGTGTCTTTTCTTTTCTTGAATCTCATGCTTTCCTTTCTGGGGCAAGTCAGGTGTCCAGTATAACAAAAACTAAAATGCCCATATTTTTGCCATGAAATAGGTGCTGGCCCTCATTTGGGGTGATATAATGTTATGTATCACTTTGCTGTGTGTTAGGAATGATACCCATTTTAAAACACTTCAAATTTTTATGAGTCCATGTCTGCAGTACATCCTGCTTACATGCCTCACGTGGAGTTGGTTCATGTGCACAACACATCTTAACTTTATCCTCCCCTTTCCTTTACTTCCCTCCCATTTCCTTCATCTCTTGATCCTCTTTCCATCTGAGAAAGATTGATTTCCTTACTTCCCATTATCTTTCATTCTGCTCTTTGCAATTTGGGTTTCTCATATAAAAAGTTATTCAGTACTGAAGAAAGAAATAGGAAATAAGAGGTTTTTTGAGTTTGGTTAAATTCCACAGTACTAACTGCTCACAGTTTGCATCTGAAGGAAAGGTATTTGTATGCACCTGCTTTGTAGTATTTTACTTTTCAGGGAGAGGCCTGTGTAAGACCATAGAAAACTGTGACCCAAAGTCTGAATGCATTGCACAGTTTTGTCTTCTCCTGTTGCTAATGGTTCTTTCAAGTCTTGACCAATAAGATCAGGAAAATGAAAGAAATCATTTTGCTAAATGAAGGAATGGAAACCAAAAAGGTTCCTCCCAGGAGAATGTGTATTAACCAGAAAACAGGAAGGGGACAGGAAGAAACTGTGAATCATTTTAGCGTACAAAACAAGCTCAGAGAAGGTCCTAGATCCTCAATTATCCTTTGCCTTGATGGGCATATTGCATAATTTTTCTAATTGAAATTTGAGAAATAACACTACTGCTGTACACTGTTGGCACTGACCTGAAATTTTCAAATCATTATTCTTTAATTGAACATTTTACAGTTAGGAATTTTACAATATATTTTCCATTTATTTTGTTTTTTTTCCTTACTCCTGTACCATAAAAATAAGTATATAACTTAATGTTTTTAAATGATTTTATTTAATAAAATTATTCTTTATTATTTTAAGTATGAGCAGCTCACAATCAACCCTGTAACTTTTGATAATTAGTAGGAGTAAAATTGTAACTATATTTAAAATGTGTATTATACAAGTATCTATGCTTGATACCAATGCTGTGATACATTTTGTTTTAAGCACCAGGAATTGAACTCAGGGCCTTGTGCTTGATTAACATTTTCTTTTGCGGTAGCCTTTGAATTACACCCTGCATGTGCAGCCTAAGAAAGGCATATGGTGCGATTCTGGGTTGGGGAGGGACTTGGCTTTCTTTTGGGATGAATTGGGGGAAAGGTTGACAGGAAAGAGGAAGTGGAAAGGAGAACTGCCTAGAAATCTGCTTTCCTGGGGCACATTAGGCTCTCACTGAGAAAGAAAACCAGTTTCCTTGGAAGAGGTGGATGTGGGATGTGGTTCCCTTGGAACTCTGGCCACACACCACCTTGGTAGGGCAGCTCGGAGTGCTTGCTTTTCAGGTGAGAGATGTCTGATCTAGTTCAGTCTGTCCTTTGGATTCTGCATTGTCTTGGATTATTGTGTTGAACGCAAAGCCTGTAGAGCAGTCTGGGGAGTCTAAAGAACATGCCCTGCTCCTGTGAAAGTTTTCCCAGGGCCTGGGCCACACGCACATCCTTCTCATGGCCTCTCCTAGGCTTCTGGGTTCTGCACCCACTTGTCATTTCTTATTAGCCTTCAGGGTCTTGCTCAAACTCCCCATCCTTTTTAGTTTTTGCTGTCTGTTACTCTTCAGACAGAGTTATGCTTTTTCCTTTTATGAATGTATTTGGTGCTATATACAGTCCCTGATAATATTTTGTGTCTATATGTATTTTGTTTTGCTCCAGGAATTGAATCTCAGGCCTTTGCACTATGATACCCTCCGTACTTCTTTTTATCATTCATTGAGACAGTCCTGCTGAATTCCCCAGGCTGGCCTCAAATGCAAATTCCTCCAGTCTCAGCTTCTGCAACAGCTAGGAGTACATGTGTATATTTATTTTTTTATGTGTCTGACTCTACACTTATATATATATATATATATATATATATATATTTTTTTTTTTTTTTTTTTTTTTTTTTTTTTGTCTTTTTCCTTTTTATCGGTACCGGGGATCGAACTCACGACTGTCTGTTTGCAAGGCAGGTGCTTATGCCACTAAGCTAAACCTCCAGCCCCTACACTTATATTTTGAATAAAGACAAATATGTCCTATGCATCTAGCCCAGCACTAGTC